TTGTATGCAGTAAAATCCTAGAGGCTACTGTTCCTTTAATGTTTTAAAACTAACAACTACAGTGGCGCCACTCAATGCGCACGATCTGATAAGTTGCGCAAAACCACTTTCCAGCCAAGGGCTACAGACCGAGGGTGTTTCTTATTTATTTATTTAAAAGCAAAAGAATTGTAATATCTTATAAACGACATATAGTTTTAGTTATAATATAGATAAAGTTGCCCTATAATGAATATCGTTCGGTTAAATAGCATTTAGGTATAAATATAATTGCACTTTTGTGATTAGCCTTCGGTCTGTAACGTGCAAAATAAATGGTCAAATACGCAACTTTTTTGGGGTGGCAGCACGGTAGCGGGTATCATGGGGCCGTTCAAATTTCGTAGCGATGATGTGTAATTAATAATAACAATTAAATTAGGTATCTGGTAACAATACGTGTGGGTATAGACGATTTGTTATACAGTAAGTACAGTTGTATGCAGTAAAATCCTAAAGGCTACTGTTCCTTTAAGTGCTCTGTGTAAACTGCAGACCAAACTGCATGTAGCGCCCCCTTCGCACAATGTTCTCCGGATACACTCAGCGCCATCTGTCGTGGAGTTTGGCTGATGACAAGTAGTAGGTCTGAGGGGAGAGATAGTGAATATAGAAATAAGTTGTAGATATAGAAATCAGTTAACCCTAACCCTAACCCTAACCCTATCTCTAATTCTAAAATAAAACAAAATTAGCCAAAAATAATAAATAATAAAATAAATAAGAGACAAAATTAGCCAATCAGATCCGTCCCCTAGCGGATCACTATCTCCCCCCTGTGCAAAATTTGATGACAAGTGTAGAATTATAAGTGTAGAGACTAGAGTTTTGTTATGTTTAGTTATATTAGGCTCGTTATTAATAGTATTAGTGTATGCAAACTTGCCTCGTAAATAAACAAAGTGACGAAATTACAAATAAAGTATCATGAGTAAGTAAACATTAATTAAGTTTACGTAACACGTAAGTTATCATTTACTATTTAGCTCCAAGAAACGGTATTGCTAGGGTTAGAATACCTACGGTGTATTGACGTTAGTCACACAGCCTTGTCGGGTTAGTTATCATTATGACTTATGTAACACTAACACTAACTCTGTAGGCCTAGGCCCTAACGCAGTAACTGTAACACTAACAGTCGCACAGCCTGGGTCTTGGAACGTACGGTAGAGGGAGGGTGCCGCTACGTGGCAGCACTAGTGTTAGGGTCAGGGTTAGAGTTAAGATTAGGGTTAGGGAAATAAGGCCATGTCTAGCATGGAAGTATGACTGGAATGATGGAACTGTACGAACAAACTCTACGACAGATGGCGCTCTCGCTCAGTCATGGGCTCAATCATGGGCTCTATCTCGATCTATGGTATCCTGAGTGTACGAAGGTGCACTGCATGCAGTTTGGTGTACGAAGTGACTAGTGCTGCCACGTAGTGGCACCCTCCCTCTACGCCCGGGGGAAAGTGACACCACTTGGAACCACAGGCACTTGGAGTGTTTTAATAAACGCAGTGGCTATATGCCCGGCAGCCGGCCACGGTCTTCGATTTCCTAAATGCCCGGCAGTTTTCCATAATACACGTGTACACATCAGGGTTCTTCAAGCTTTTTCATTATAGCGCCATGGCGGGTGCTGCCTTTACGGTCCTAGTTGCAAATCGCCGAAGGCGGTTTGCGTGCTAGGGGTGTCCGGGGGCTATGATATTTAGCATGGCGGCTATGATATTTAGAGTGGCGGGTGCATTTTAGGATGGCGGGGGTCGACAATAGCCTGGCGGGCCGCCAGGCTATAAGTGCTCTTGGAGAACCCTGCACATGTGTTTGCTTATTTAGCATATGTCATGTGCTATTTCCCATAAGCCTTTGATTGCGTGTGCACAAAATAGCCTAAGCCGAGTGATTAGAGCACTGGCTTTACGTGTGAAAGGTCAATGGTTCGAATCCCGTCTGGTTTTTAATTATTTTCTTGTTTTCTGTATTTTTCTATCTTTATCTATTTAACTATTGTTTTCCAATTAACGAAAATATTTACATTATTTATTTACAACAATTTAATTAAAATTTTTTTTTCATTTAATTAAATTTATTTAGGGTTAGGGTTAGTCAGAAAGATCTGAACGAGCCACGTCAAACAGAGTTCAAACTGCCGGGCATTTAGGAAATCGAAGACCGTGCCCGGCTGCCGATAAAATAAAACAATACAATAAAATATAATGCTAAATAAATACGAAATCTATTTACTACCAAAGTCTTAATGTTTCTCTACACTCTTTCACCTATTATTGCCGACAATTTCCTGTAAATGCCGTCCAAATGCTTATCTGCAACACACGCTGGCTTCCGCACGCTAGCTGCTGTACTGAGAGACTGACACATAAATATTTCGCAGTGGCAACGCGTCCGGAACCGGTCGCCTAGCCTCCAGGCTACGCGTCTGCACATCCACTCACACAGTGATCGTGCGACTCGCGTACACGCATGATTGCGCAACGGTACGCTCTGCTGCCGTCTATCCTTTCATCCGTCCTCTCTCGCTCTCTCTCTCTCTCACACACACACACGCGCAGCTCTCTCTCTCTCTCTCTCTCTCACGCATACACACACACATACACATTCCTAGCGACCTAGCGTCCTAGCGACTCCTCGTCCGGAACCGGTCGCTAATGGTAATGCTACTTATCACTAATAACCAACTAATATCATAGTGCTTTGGAGAAAGCTTACCTCGTAACTATGGAATGTTTAAAGTATCTCTATTTTTCATACCGCGTATAATACAGCTAGTAATTGGTTAAAACAATTCTTACATTCACTGAAACATAACAAAATTAACGCCATCTTAGAAAGGTGTGAAAGCGCCATCTCTAGGTTCATAAAAGAACTATATATGCATTTTTCAGTCAACACTTTTTTCACCCTCCCCAAAGCACAAAATGTGGATATATACACGTTTTTACAGTCCCTCTGTTTTCCCACACACAGAGAAAAAGCTCCCCCTCCCTTCTCTTCTCTCTACCTCACTCCTCCTGCTTCATTGTGTTGCAGTTGTACCCTTA